ACTGTAGGGGAGAAAAATTGTTACAAATACATATTATTAATAACAGTTATGAGATCATATAATTGTGAATGTATATATGACAAATAAAAAATTTAAAATTCAAACTAAACATCCACATAGTTGATTCAGTTAAAGACATAACTCTTGATTTTCTTCTAGGAACTTAAGAAGTATGGAGTAACTACAATAGTAAGAGTATGTGAAGCCACTTACGACACTGCTCCATTAGAAAAAGAAGGCATTCAGGTTTTGGTGAGTAGCTTACTTGAACAGTTGTTGTTTTTTGAATTTTAAATTTTTTATTTCTCATATATACATTCACAATTATATGATCTCATAACTGTTATTAATAATATGTATTTGTAACAATTTTTCTCCCCTACAGTTGACAGTATACTTGAAATTGCTTTCTTACTATCCCATAAACCCATCTTATCTTACAACAATCCTACTTCCTCTTCCTTCCTTCCCTGCTTTCTTTTCTCCTTCTCTCCTTCCTTCCCCCCTTTCTTCTCTCCCTCCTTCCCCCTTCCCCCCTTTCTTCTCTCCTTCCCTCCTTCCTTCCCTCCTTTCTTCTCTCCTTCCTTCCCTCCTTTCTTCCCTCCTTGCTTCCCTCCCTCCTTCCTTCCCCCCTTTCTTCTCTCCTTCCTTCCTTCCTTCCTCCTCTCCTTTCCCTCCTCTCCTTCCCCTTCCCCTCTATCCATCCCCTCTTTTTCCCTTTCCTCCCCTCTCTCCTACTCTTACATTCCCTCCAATTCTTCCTCTACTTTTCCCTCTCTCCCATTCCTCTCCTTTCTCCTCACCTTCCTATCTTTCCTTCTACTCCTCCAGCCTGTGAAGTTTATTGTGGTCATTAATCTGGAGCATTAAAGTGTAAGGTTTGAATGAATACCTAATCTTACTGGGAATCGGAGGATATAGTTTTAAAAAAATAGCATGCAGCCTGAAAATAATACAAGCCTGGAATGAAACTATGAAGGAATTTCAGCCAGACAATGTTGCTATCAGGTATGCTATTGCACAATCACAAGTTAAAAAGCGAGGAACTGGACCTTCCCAATTACCTGATGCCCGTTCCATTCGGGTCTGGCAGAAGTATCATATTGTGGGTCTCGTCTGTGAAATGGGAAGATATGGAAGCCAGGAGATAGCTTTTTTCTGCTGTGGTAGAACATCATTGCTCCTGAAGTCCCCATCTTTCCAGGCCTTTCAGAAATACCTCGTTAACTTGGTTATGTCAAGAATCTGGGCCTGAGCCTGGGCCAATCAAATGTTAATTTGACTAGATGGCTCCATTGTTTATAGCAGTGTTTCTCAACCTTGGCAACTTGAAGATGTCCGGACTTCAACTCCCAGAATTCCCCAGCCATTCGCTGGCTGGGGAATTCTGGGAGTTGAAG